CTTGAAATACCCTCAGTTTAGGCGGCGGCGCCGCCGAGCCCGCCCCGCCGCCCGCTCCCGCCGCCACCACTCGCACAGACTCTGTCACAAAATGCTCGACGGTGTCCGTGTACAGCGTGAGCGTCACAAGGTACGTCCCGGCCTCGGAGATGTCGAACGTCCCTCGGATCGGCAGCGCCGTTTCGTCGTAATCCACGGGCACCTCCCCAGGGTTGGGGGACAGCTCCTCTACATACCAGGAGAACCACATAATTGGATCAGACTTATCGGGGTTCTCCCGAGAGCCGCTGCCGTCCAAGGTTAGCGTCGTCGGGCCGTCCAAGGCTGTAAGGACAACGTGGCCAAGAGACGCCGCCTCGGCGACGCGGACGGAGGGAACGGGGTAGTCAACATCGTTGGCGGCTCGCACCGGGAGGGCACGGACCGCGAGGCTGTGCTGCAGCCGCGGCGGCGGCGACGGCAGTGGCGCGGCTGGAGACACAGGCGAGAGCGGGGGCACCTCGTCCGCAGAGTGCAGGGTGACGGGCCCGTCTGCCACTAGCCACTCGCCGAGCGCAGCGGCATGTACCTCTCCAGATTCGAGCCTCAGGCTGCCCTCTGTGTTACCGGCCGGCGAGACCAGGCTCAAGCCGGTCGTGGGGAAGGCGCTGGCGAGTGGAGCCGGAGAGGCGGCAGCTGCCAGTGGGGCAGGCAAAAGGCGTAAGGAGCCGGCTAGGAGGAGCAGGGCTGAGTCATAAAAGGGGTCGCCTGCGTCGGCGATGACCGCTCTGACGGTGTACGTGCTGCCCGGCGCAATGAGGACAGGGGATGTCCGGAGGGCCTGTGTTATGACGGAAGGAACGGCATGCCCGGTGCACGAATCCGAGGTGAGCAGGTCGCATTTCTGAGACGGAGAGGACTGAACCCCTGCACAGCAACAAAACAGCTACCCACGGCCTGCACAGCAGCACGCCAAGCAGAGACCTGGCGGGGGAGGGGCCCAAGGCAGCCAGGAGCAGTGGGTGCGGCCCAGGATTCTGCTCACAGTTGTGATCACCCAGCCGTTGCTGTCGTGCACCAGAGCCTGATCACTGCTTGCCCGGCGTTGCGCGAGCACAGCGCTCGCATCGACTGCCGCGCCGCTGGGCAGAAACGCGACGTTGGCGTGGCCAGCGGCTGCTGCGCCTGCTGCTCGGTGGGCCGGCGCTGCAGAGGCGTTTCCTTCGGTTGGAAGGATGACAATGGCCGCCGTGTCCGGGCGGGGGCGTCCCCTCCAGGGCGCCGCAACGGGGCGGGCGCCCTCTTGGGTTGCGAACGCAAATTGCAACGACAACTGCAGCAGCTCAAGGCCAGCGGTGGCCGCAGGCGCTACGTGAACCAGGAACTCGAGAGATGCGGTGTCGAAGCCGTCGATGGCAGTGGCTCCAGGGCTCGGCAGGCGCGCCGCTGTCGTGCGGCCGCGGCCGACGCGGCCCGCAGCGCCGATGGAGAGGACGACAGCGGGGCCGCTGAACGGCGGCTCAAGGCCGGCGGCGCCGCCGCCAGGGCTGGTGTTGTTGAGGGGCGAGAGGCCCAGGGCATCACAAGAGCCAGAAAACTTGGCATCTGATGCGGTCAGGCGCGCGTCGCCGATGAGCGCCGCTGCGGCCGCCTGGGCGAGGGACGCAGCATCCACTTTTGAGCACAGACGCTGGTCAGCAGTGGCAGCACGCGCAGCGGCGCCGAGCAGGGCTGCCAGCAGCACAAGTATCACAGCTTGCATGGAGACTAACAAATTGTGCCTTTACTACATCGGATCCCGGCGTCGTTTGCAAGATCAAAGTGGTCGGCGCGAACCGCAAGTTGCTCAATCATCCGTCGAGTATATCATAGTTGTTTCCGTGACATACAGGGACTTATACAATTCTATGATATCATGTAGATTGCATCGATTCGACGCTCTCGTGCATACAGCCGCATACGGTATGGATCGCGCACAACCCGTGCGCGCACACCCATGGACGCATCCCTGCATTGTTCAGCGACGGTGCCAACGCCTCGCCTCCTGCGCACACAGCTCCCTCCATCATGGTCGGCCACGCGCCATCATTGTCCCTCAAGGTCCTGACAAACATGGACTATCCAGTGGTTGCCACCATGTCCGCACTGTGTTCACATATAACAACTGTGCCATGAGGACCTCGCCTTGGCGCCTGTTAAGGACAGGCGCGGATGACGCCTGGCGCCCGCTCCCCTGCCTGTGTTCTCCAGATCTCCCCAAGCTCTAGCTGCTTATCCAACCCAGAGGCGACCATACTCATAGCTGCATTGAGCGGACCCCACACTACGCACATGCCAGATGGATGAAGCCGCATGCGCCCCACACCATGTAGCATTCACGGCTGAACCACGAGACACGACCAATCCCTGGCAGTTACAGCCCCAGCGAGCCCAGCAACTGCAGGTGGCTTCCGAGCGGCGCCAGAGTGTTGGCGCACAGCGCGCCCGACGCGGCAACGGCGGGCAGGCCGATGCCGGGGAAGGTGGAGTCCCCGCAGGCATACAGCCCAGGGATGGGCGTGGTTGGGCCTGCGAACAGCGCATGCGAGGAGCGTTTCGCTTGAGCACGCCATCGCATGGGGGTAGCGTTGTGCATGCTTATGCATGCAGGTTGGGTGAGAGGCCTTGCCTGCACTGTTGCTTGCTGCCTGCGGCTAAGTGGTGCCAAAACTGGGCAACCTGGAAGTGTAGTGCGCTTCGTTGAGGGCGACGTGGACAAGGGAGACGTCCCAGAGAGCCAAGGCAAGGGCGCCCTGCCAGCAAGCGGCTGCGCATGCGGTTTATACCCAGGCGTCAGCCCCCACCTGGGAACAGTCCCTCCCCTGCTTTGATGGCGGGGCCGTACGAGCCTCTGTGGCGCCGCAAAAACCGCTGGTGCGTGAGGGGGGTGCCCACCTGCATTCGCAGTGTTGGGTGGGTTGATTGGGGGCATGTGAAGCTGTGGCGATTCCGACCACAAGTATAAAAAACCACACCTGATTTGATGCTGTACACATGCGCCCCTGCACACTTGGCCAGGCTCGAACGTTTGCGCCTGTACAGATCCCATGCATTGTGGTGCCTGTTGTGGAACCCCTGCCAAGTTGAACCGCCCCCCCTGAAACACAGGCCAGGCACACCCCAACCTGAGGTGGTCACCTACATGTGCAAGCATTTTCAAGTTCATGCGTGCACACCTTTTGAAACTCACACCCACCCGTCTCGCATCAAGTCCAAACACACACGCACACACACGCTCACATGCACTTTTGCGTGCAAATTCGCAAATTCACATACACACATCGACCGCCCGCGCATGCACCCAAATCAACCCTAACCAAGCCCCAAACACACCATGGTGACCTCTGCCCTCTGCCTGATGTCCGGGATGATTCTCTCCACCGCCCGCCACAGCACTTGCGAGCGCTCCTCCTTCAGAGCCTTGTACTCGGGGCTGTGGTGTCATGCAATCAATGGCAAGATGGGTGAGGGCGGATCTGGGCTGGTTTTAAGTTGGGGATGGCTTGAAGGTAAGACCGTCAACAAGAATTCAAGCACAGAGGTGCTCGCTTGTCTCAGGATATTGTTCTCTTGCAAACAATATCCGCCGCCAGGTGCAGTGTTTTGACTCTCTCGCGCGCGCCGAGTTAGATGAAAACTCCAGGCAGTACAAGCAGGACGAGGCCGGGCTGCGGAGCCTGGGCTGCGGCCCGCGCCGCGGTGATGCCGTGCGAAGGCAGCAACAGGGCGTGACGCGCAGGCGAGAGCCCGCATGCGGTCTCGTTGTGTCAATAATGAGTGCCCCACCTCTTCCTATCGAGGCCCTCCCAGAGGGAGTAGGGTTCCGTGGCGGGCAGGTACGCGTGCAGGCAGTGCTTGCCGGGGGGCGCGAGCGAGGGGTCTGCCACGGACGCGATGGACACCAGGACCACCTGCGGCACCAGGTGACGGGTGACGGGCGATGGGTGGCAGGCGATGGGTGACGGATTATGGGCAGGCGGCGGGGCGCCGTGGGGTGGGCCTGGGGCAGGCAGGGAGACCTCGTGGCAGCCGGATGGCGGTGCATTGCTGCAGCAGGTACCTAGACCTCAAACCTGCGTGCACACCACCTTTTTCTTGTTGTACTCGCCAACCTTCCCACAAGAACATATCTGCTGCTAATCCATTCTCTATCACACAATCCGCCTACGTTTTGCTCCGCATCGATGCCCCTCTCCCATGAGTCAACGATGATGTGGTGCAGCTCCAGCCCCTCCAGGCCTGCAGGTCATTGCAGAGCGCAAGAGAAACATTAAGGGGCACCAGGGGGGTTGAGTCAACAGCCTTGAAGGGTGCGTATGGGTGCAGCATGTGGCTTGGCCGCGGCCGCGGACGTGGCCGCAGGCAGGGGCAGGGGGCGGGGCAGCGCCGGGCAAGACGTGCGAAGACCTGGGTTGCAAATTCACACCTCTCCTCCAGGCCTTGTTTCGAGCCGGGCTGTGGCGCTGTCATGCTCAGCCCCCCCCCCCTTGTGGGGGGTTCAAAGCCTGAGAGCCAACCTCCGATGCCAGTGCAAACCATCCTGTTGCCGCGCACCTGTGGCGTCAAACCCGACGTGCAGGTGCATGAATGACCTGCACGGCGGTGTCGCGGCCGCGGCCCCCTCCATCTGCTTCACCAGCCCCTGCGGCACAGCCCCCGCGTCCAGGAGCTTGAGCGAGTCCCAGACAGACGCGTTGGTCACGACCGCCTTGGACGCGCGCACGCGGCCGCCGCCGCGCAGCAGGACGCCGTCGGCGCGGCCGCTGGTGTCGAGGGTGATCTGCTCGACGTGGGAGCTGAGCAGCAGGCGGCCGCCGCGCTTCTCCAGGCCCCTGCGAGTGTGGTGAGCGGCGGGTGTGCGGGGTTGTGGGTGGCGAGGGGCGGGTTAGCGGGGGTGTGGGGGACATGGGTTTGAGGGGGTGCGGGATCTGTGTGGTGTGAGGGGGAGAATACCGCATGAGTAAGTGTCAGGGGGTGTGATGGGCCGCAAAATGTGCAGATTGACATAAGAGAAGGTTTTAAAACGCGTCACCGGGCGGCTCGGAACAGCCATGCCTGCAAGATCAAGGAGCAGACATCCGGGGCAGCGGCGTCACGGAGCGTGTCAGGACCATTGTTGCAAGCATTTCCACGGAGTTTGTGGAACACCAAACACGAAAGACACTGCTCCGCGTACACAATGCAGGCAGCGGGCAGGTCTCACATTGTCCCAACCCCCTTATTCCATGCGTGCTGTGCATCTGCGCACGCACGCACACGCACACGCACACGCACACACACACACACACACACACACACGCACACTCGCACGCACGCACGCACGCACGCACGCACGCGCGCACACGCGCG